ACAAATTTCAGAATATTGAAACCATTATAGTTTTTGCTATTCCATATTAGTATAAACATACTAATGGTCTATCACTCATACTGCGCTGTGATTGGCTACTCTACTAATGGTCTAATTTGTGATAGACCACTCGCGGGAAAATCAAATTGGCGGCATCTCATTAATAAATTATTTTCAGGATATTTCAATTTGTTTTCATTATTTGACCGATTAGTACGTTTATACTAAAACAATTAGACCTCTCGGCCTCATGGACTACGACTCGACCTCGAGGTCTAATTGTTAATTATGTAACATTATGTAATTTATTATGTGATAGCATTTTTTTAGGAACCTGACCAATTTTTTTCACGCGGCTACGCTTAATCTTGGTTATAGCTCTAGGCCTTTGCTCAAGACGAACATGTGAACTCGGCAAAAGACCTTCGTTCTCTTCAAAGCTCCACCCACCCTTCAAAAATCGACGTCCCTATTGAAGATAGCATTTCAAAACATATAGATTTAAAAAAAAAGATTGGACACAAACTCAAATTAAGATTAAAAATGAAATAAAAAATTAAATACGCACGCGAAGCTCTATTCAGCTGTCTTGGGAAAAGTACAGATGACCGCTTAATAGAGGTTGACCATTTAAAAGAGGTCATTTTACAGTAAATATATGAGAATCGACTGAGAATCGACCTTACACAATCGAACCTCTATTAAGCTGACTTGGGAAAAGACTAGGTGACGGCTTAATAAAGGTTGATTGCTTAAAAAAGGTCAAAGCTAACAAAAAGTCCATTGTGGATCACGTGTTTAGGGCAAGAATACGCTCAGGTGTCACGTGTCACGTTATATTGTAGAATCTCTTGACATCCAAGTGGGCTTGTCAAACAGTGCGATTATGTCTTTCAATTGGTGGATTCAGTCAGAAAATTGGTTTAATGGGATAAAATAACAAAGCAAAATTTCAAATTAGTACCCCTAGCATCCAAGCGGGCTTCTCAAACAGTGCGATCATGTCTTTCCGTTAGTGGATTGTGTCAGATAATGGGTTTTATGGAATGAAATATCCCGGAAAAAATTCAAATTAGCACCCCTACGGAATTTAAATGGATAGAGGTGAAAGAAATGTGACTCGCAGATCCCCCATCGACCTCTTTTAAATATACTTTCTTCAATTGAAAAACTAATATCTTCATTGGAAAACTATATCACCTAAAAGTCAGTTAATTGATTTTTCGGATTAGTTAAAAGACGGAGCAGTAGCCAGAAGTTTTCTGTTAGTCTCTGAACTGCTTGGCTTGATCATATCGACATGCTCGTTAATCCCACTACAGATGTACCGTGGGGAAATCATAATTTTCATTGCAGCGATGCAAGTACTTTTACTAAACGATTGGTATTTGCTGTCATTATCGCTTCAATAATAACGATTCTGAACGGATCTATCATTTTTGTGTTGGTTCGGAAGCTCTGCGTTCTTTCTGTCGGGAACAGTATCATTCTTCACTTGGCTGTTGCTGATTTCTTGGTGTCAAGCACTGCTCTTCCTCACTTTATCGCTGTGTTAGTAGGGAGTCCATTGGTCGCTACATCTTGTCAACTAACTGCTTTCTTCACCCGATTTACGCACAGCTCCTCTATGTATTTGATCACAATAATGGGGGCTTCTCGTTGCTATGGTATACTCAAGCCGTTTGAATACCGTGCTAACATGATTCCTTCCAGAATACATAAGATATGTCTTGGTGCTTGGTGTTTGGCATTAGCTTTAGCGTTAACGCCCTTTTTAGGGTGGGGAAAGTATGAGATAGTGGACAAACAATGCTTATGTGCGCTAAATGCACATAAATATCCCTACAACTGGATAGTGTTTTCTCTAGTATCTTACGTYATACCCCTTATTATTAACTCCGCCATTTTTGTTTGCATAATCAAGAAGTTCGCTAAAACAGGGGTGATTAATCTGCAACAGAAACATAATTTGAATCCCACGATTGGTGGGCGTTTAGGCAAGCCTACATTCATTAAAATGTTTAAATTAGGAAGCTTTTCTGGTGTCTTTGCAGCAAAGAACAAGTACTCATACTCAAGTAGGACTGAAAACACGGTTCAGCGAGAACATAACACTAATTCACGAAATCCCGACTTGTTCATAATTGGAAATATAATAAACCGTGAAGGTTATTCAGATGACATGATTTGTGCATCGGCAGCAAAATCAGAACTTGAATTGGTATCTTATAGAGAAATAATTGAAAGCGGATCTCTAGAGGAACCAGTTGTGACACTAACAGTCAAAGCGAATATCGAAGTTCAGAGAGAAGATTCGAGAAACCTTCATACACATCGCGAAAAAAACTCTAATGAACAACCAAACCCAAGGTGCCAAAAGCCCGAAGAATCCAATGGTATAAACGAAATTCACGTACAAAGTATTGGTAACGACGAAAGACATAATGTCAGCAATAGAGAAGAAACTATAAAAGATCAAAGTTCACAGGGATCCCATTTCGAGTCATCACCTCCAGTCTCAACGAAATCTAACACAAGCCTGAATATAAACTTCAATCCAAGTGACTTCAAAAAATTGCAATCATCAAAGAAAAAATCTTCCAAGAAGTCAAAAACTTTCATCATAGCCTTGATTTTTGTCTCGTATGTTATAATGTGCATGCCAACTGCTATCGTCAGGAGTTGGTATGCTGTAATTCCAGATTCTGTACCAGAAAGCGTTTTTACTGTTGCTACTTTTTTTGGTGCGTTAAATTCGCTGGTAAATCCATTTTTGTTTGTAATACTCAGTGGCGAATTAAGATCGGATATCAAAAAATTATTCTTCAATTGTTAAATCAGGGTCGTGACATGGGATGTGGGATCAGCGTTATTTTTGGGATCGGGGATCAGAACTTTTGCTTTGGGATCGGGATCACAAAGTACTGGGTTCGGCCTGAAAAAAAAAATACAATTAGAAATGCATGGGATCACACGAAGTTTGAGGGATCAAATTTGAACAAAAATATGGGTTCAGGGATTAAATTTTGGTCAAGAAAACGGGATCACAAGTATTAAAACATCCAATGTCTCGACCCTGTTAATCAAGCGAAAATCAGCACCGGATTTTGTAACTCAAATGATGCCAACTTTGTGAAACTCTGTCTTGGTCGTGGGGTAAATGTAAGCTTCAAATTCAAACAAGTTCTTTTTTATGTTACTCTACTTTTCGAATAATTACTCTAACATTGAATGTGAAATCGGTTGACGAAGCCATTAAAGGGCCGTGGTTATCCAGCATTCGATACGGTCGTAGTTTTAGACCTTCCATAAATGGAAAATGAGGTGACTTAAAATATCTATCAGCAATTCGTTTCAATCCGTCGGTCAATATCTCCATTCATATACACATATAGTTAGCATAAAGGGATAATAAAGAGTAAGATTCATTGAGATGCATTCTTATTTTCAAACATGATTAAAAGCTCGAAAGAGGAGCCGGTGGACCACGTACAAAAACATTTTAGACTGATTTTGTTTTGTTTTGTTTTGTTGCGATCTCAGTTTTCTTGATCATTAAAAGGTATTCACATCATATCAGTTTTTATTTGTAATACGTTTGTACAATTTTCATATATTATTTGTGCATGGGTTATTTTCTGAGAAATATTATAATAAATAATCAATAAAAAATAGTCTTACATATCAAACAAAATAGAGTATTTCTTGTACTCTACTCAGTGAAAATTACGTTTTTTATCTAACTCTATTCAACTAAGTGTAATCGGCGATACTCCTACGTAGAAATTACCCCCACCCCCTACGAACGTTGCCAAACAAAAGAGTAACGATTTGGTACGAGTCTATCTTTTCATCTTCTGGTTCTTCAGCTACTATGATTATTTCCTGAAGGTCAATTATTAGGTAATTCCCATTTAACTGAGGGTGTAACAACCTCGTCCCAGTCACTTAACCCTAACAAAGAAATAAGGGCCTGGTAACGAGGATGCGGGCGTAATATAATAATATAATATGTAATATGTGGTATTTATATAGCGCCGATATCCTCTGAGTTCACAGGCGCTTCACATGTATAGATCATTTCACACGGACCGCTGTTTAAGGCGCAATTGGCAGCCACGCGGCTTACAATCAATATTCAGAGCTTCGACTTGAAAATGCTACATGTATATGATTCTAATCCATACTAATAGACGTCTGAGCCTTTTACGTCATTACTTGATTTTCAATGCATTGTGGGATTAGTTTCTAGAGAAAACAAAACCCGCCATTTTCTGTCCAAGAAATGTCCTACAATGCATTGCGTATACGGTACATGATGTAAAAGCTTCAGAGGTCTAATATACAACTTAATGCTTCATAAAATGATCACATCAAGTAATTATAAGGACAGAGTTATATGATTTAGTACGACTAGGATCATACCATAATTTCGACATAATTGAACATCCCATAATTTCGACATCCCAGTAACTTTGGACATCCCATGATTTCGACATCCCATAATTTCGTTATCCCATAATTTCGACATAATTGGACATCACATAATTTCGATATAACAAGATGGCGACTGTGTTTCCAATGAGGTCTATTCTCAACTTCCGGTAGTAATTTAGGCATAACTCCTTAACATCTTGATGATTTTAGGGTAAAGTATCTTAGGTGCATCCATCCCTTGAATAAAGTCTACGTGATTCCAGTTCGGGATCATTTCATAGTACTCGACATCAGGGATTTGTGCTCGGATTGGAGCAACGTCTGACTCAACACTAAGAGTATCGTGTTGACCAAGATACATGACGACTGGTATCGTTATCTTACTGACATCGTATAATGGCGGTTTTGGCTACAAAAAAGGAAGAAAAAAATGTAATTCTGAGCCCTTATCTACACAATGCTGGAAATTTCCCGCATTTTTGATAACGGGTTACGTGCATGTATTCGGACTTTTTTGAAAAATGATTTTTATAATGGAAGTGTTGGAAAACGCGATTTAAATACATATTCACTGGAAAAAATCGCGCAGTTTAAAGGTTGTAAATTTGATGTGAATATTATGTAAGATTCAAAATGATGTAAATTTGATGTAAATCTTGACGCAAAATTATCTCTCAAATCCTTCTGTGTGTGGTTTTACTYACCTTTCCATAACGGCGAAGGTTTCCAAAGTATCCATAATCAAATCTTCTGGTTTGGCCAGAGTAAATCACCTAACGCAGACATTACATTACTTTACATTGCATTTRATTGCATGATAATTTATAACGCACGCTTAATTGCATAAGTAAATGTTCTTGAATCCGCTAAGGATCGTTCAGTAGTGACAAATAATAGAACTTAGAAAACTTATGAAATTATTAAGTGCTAAAGTACAACATCTCAGTCAGTGGTGTTTTGATTTCGACCGCACTAACCTGCCCAAAATGAATGATATTCTTGAATGACGTCCCAGATGGAAAGTGAGCCAAAATTACGGGAACTCTAGTCTACAAAATAACAATTCTTCAATTCCATTTATAGCAAGCAGTCATGATAAGTGTTTAATTACAATAATGTAATATAAACAATGATATCAAGCATTTATACGTTAGTAGATTAAGGTTGCCGGTATATCTTTGTGAAACGTTGATAGTTTATTCATCAGTATCAAGCAGTATTGATGTTCAACGAATAGGCCCTTTCTGAGATAGCATTTTGCATTGCATTGTGGTCTAGATTCGGTATAAACATCTTTTGTTCATGCTGCCAAATATGGCGTTGTTTGTGTTGAAGCTAGACCACAATGCACCATGATTTTGTATTTCAGAATAGGTCTCTGCATCCTATGCATAGTTATTAGAGGGGGACATAGTTAATAGAGGAGGACTGCCCCCCTCTATTAACTATGATCTATATTAGTGCCAAAATTTCTATTTTCCATTTCTATTAAGTTAGCTAAATGCTTAACTTTAAACCGATCAATCAAATTTTAATACTTCATCTTTAGCTCTATAATCTTCATACCATGTTCATGTCTTGGTCGTCATACCCAAAGATGCTTTCTACCACGTGGTAACACGCCTTCTCGGTGTATTTTCCGCCGCAAAATCCAAGCATGATAAGCTGCTTTATTAACACACCTGGTAGAAATGACGTAGGGCCAAGTGGAAATAGCGCTTCCTACAAAAAAATATCAGACGTAAGCATTACACAAAATTACTATTAGCTATTCTGTGTCACATCCGAAAATGTTCCCGGAAGTGACGCAAGCAACTGCTGGGCCAAGAGTCTTCTTCACGGTTCCCTGCGCCATCTTGAAAGGTAGCCGTTCCATTGCATCGAAGAGAGACAACCATTGAGCATGCAATAATAGATACCTGTGAATAATTGACTCTGTAGGTGTGAAAGAAGGTTTCTATCATTGCACACTCAACGGTCGTCTCGCTTCGATGTAAAGGCACGGCTACCTTTCAAGATGGCGCAGGGAATCATGAAGAAGACTATTGATTGACAGACATTTCTCACTTGAAGAGAAGGAGCAGTGGAAGACACTGAGAATTGAAAAACAATACATGAAAACTTACCTGTATTGGTCCCAGTGCAAATGCTGCGTCGCGCAAGATTTTAGCCGTGTGGTTTAGATGAAAGATTGGGGCGAGAGCGATGTAGAGCTTGATCTTTTTAGCAATTTGAGGGTTCGTTGAGAAGGAAAGAAACCCGACTAGGGTGCCTTGCGAGTGTCCTATGTAGAACACTTGGTCCTGACCGGTTACTTTGAGGGCGTAGTTGATCATTGCTGGTATATCTTTATCGGCCATTTCTTCAAAACTGCCCGAAAACAAGGCAAATCATAACACTGGAAAATTGTAGATGCTAGTCATTTTTAATTGTTTTTGTTATGTCTTGAAAAGTATCGCACATAACTGCAACTATGAGCAACGATATAAAACGCTTCTCCGCTTTTCATACATACTATAATACATACTGGAGTTATGGTAAAGCGACAAGTGCGCCACTCTGCAATATACGAAATAAATAGCGCCATAATGTGGTTATATCAATGTTTTAGTTGAAGCACGGTTACAAGAAAGAAAAATGAAATCCAAGATGAAGAGAACTATAGGAAACTTTCAATTTTTCTATCGATTTTGGCGAAACGAAATAGCAATACCAGAAAAGTCAGGACGTTTCTTCTTTCTACTGTGTCTTATTATTTATCACATAGAAATAACATTTACCTCCAATCCCAGAATTTTGGATTAAGGGGCGTGTACTTCACGTGTCGTCTTGAGTACCTATTACCCCGGATGTTACCCAGCCACACATCAAAGCCATTGTCAGCGAGCATGAAACCTATTGCACTGTAGTTCCAGTTAAGAACCCAACAAAAGGAATCTGCCAGCAGCCCGTGCTGTAAAAACACTACAGGTTTTTTTACATTGGTTTTCTTCTCGTTGCGTCCATGTGGGATTCTTTGCATGGATAATATGAATCCATCCTCGGTGACCACGTCATGTTCTTCCACAGGAAACCCGCGACTCTTGATAATTTGAGTCTAAAAAAACAAAGGATTTATTATTAACAAAAAAAGAAAGTAGAAGTTTTGTTACCAGTCTCCACCCCCTACCCGCCTCCTCCCCTATAAGGACAGATTACGCGGCATTTCTTTGTTTTTGCTTGACCTTTTGTTATCTATTGAACTTCATTCCATATAATTTTTCGGTTGCTCAGCTTGGTTTAAACTTTCCACAAGTCTATGCTATATGGATTCGCAAATTAATAAAGAAGATTTCGAGAATCGAGCGAAAATTCGAGAAAATAAATGAGCGCCAGGGGGCTTAAAGCGGCTTCAAGGGACCCTATTAAAGTCAAGCTTGTGTGTTCTGTACGGTCCAACGACTGTAATACATAAACTGTAATATTACAACTACATTGCTTTAGTAATGCTCGAGTTTTCTAACTCTACTGGGATAATGTTAATATAAATCAATGACAAATGCACAGCGATGGTTCATTTATAATTAAGAATAATATATAGAGATTTACATGTACTGCATAGACGTTATGTCACAAAACTTCACAAATCACTGAGTTTTCGTCACAAGAAATACATAATATATATCCGCGCAGGAAATATGTTCAAATCAGTAATAGCAGAGACAGTATTTTTGATCAGACGGAAAATTCGTCTTAAGTTTGTGTTTTTCTAAAAACTAAAACCAAAAATATTGTCATGCATGGCTTTTTTTACAGGGGCAGAGATTACGAAGGTATCCACTAAACAAATCCTTCCAACTCAGCTAATAAAATTCATTCACAGATATACTTTGGATAACTTTATTCGGGGCATAACTTTATCCATTCTGCAGACAACAGACCCTGGATGGGCAAACTGTCGGCCAAAAGTAAAAGTGTAAGTTATCCGTTTCAAAACGGTACAGAGTTTTGCATGAAGCTTCCGTGTGTCCGTGCGTGTCCGAGAAATATTCATCGCGTATACGTAGGAAAAAGGCCGTTCCAATTAACCCAATTAACGTACTTTTAGTCAACAAAGCATATATCTATAATAATGATTAAGGAAAAATAAGTTCCACAAGATCTTATGCAAGTGAAGGAGATACTTACGACATTTCGATAAACGTCAGGGTCCGTTGGTTTACACTTCGTACCAGAAGACATCAAACACTCGCTGTTAGCATGATAAGAATATAGCAGCAACATCAAGGCAGAGATAAATAGCCCCATATCTGTCTTCATGATCAATTCACGGGACGCAATACACAGAAACGAGCCCTGTATATGGTGTCCAAGTTGACGATGAGGATCTACGTTGATCGCTTATATTGTGTGAATGTCACGTAGGATGTCACGAGTGACGTTGGTCACGTGTGTACTTTTTTGTCTTCACTTCACTTCACTTTGATAAATAGATGCGACGTAGTGGCTGTATAAGCATACTAACATGAAATGTACTAACATGACAAATTAAAGCACTGGTGTTTGGAAGAATAGATAATTTGCAAAGAAAATTTTGTCCCTTTATTAATTCCTCCTTTTTTTCAGGATGTTGCCAGTCTGGAACCAACGCTGCAGGCTGCTCTACTTGCGAAGCCAGTCTGGCAGAAATTTGTTGAAGTAGCTGATATGTACAAAAAATCACAACTAAAAGATATGGTCGAAAATAAGCCATCAAGGAGATCTTTGACGCGATAACGGTGTGATATATTACTAGTGTCTATTATCTCTTGCGGAAAATTGTTATAGGGATGAAACTATATTTGTACATGTCAGTTCTTGCGTAGGGATGTCTTCTGTTTTTTTTTTTTTGTTTTTTTTTTTGGAATGAAACAATAACAATGTTTTGTGGTGATTTCTTTTAAGCTGATTGACTTTTATGAAAGTCAAGATTTAGCTAGTTGTGTATTCTTGCTTTTTAAGGGGGAGGGAGGGAGAGGGAGGGGGATGAAGCCTCCAATCAAAGCAAAAATTCAAAATTCGGGGAATGCAGCCCTTAAAGCTACAGGTGATTGCAAATGAGTCACAGGTGTATGAGAATAAACAAGTGGCCCACTCAGTAACCTACGTCTAGGGGTGTATCAATATAAAGCCGCTATTTTTGACACATAGCTTCAGTTACATCTGGATTGTTTTGAGTTTTGGGCATTTGATAGTCATAGAGTATCATTGTTGAATTATGTAATAAGCAATTTAATTGTGTAATAAGCTGGTCTAATATCATACAGTCTACATTGGCATTATTTACATTTGCTTTAAAGCTCTGCTAAGTAAAAAAAAAAGTTCTGGCGTATACTTTACAGTGGAAACTTAGTTTTCCTGCCACTTAGAGGACTTAAAAATATGGCTGTATTTGATGGGATGGCCGTTTTAACCAGGCTAAAAGTACGAGTAGTTAATTAGCCAGGTCAGTTTGGTCATTATAGCATAGTGGCTGTAGTGACAAATTAAAGCACTGGTGTTTGGCCGCACTTATGTTTTTCCTTCATCTTCAAAGATTTCTTTGATGGATTTATTTTTTACAGAAAACAAAGGTGAAACTGCTGAAAGTTTCAAATTATGATCATTAGTGTGGATGACAGGAACGCTTAGCGTATCTCACTTATATTAAGTACACTAAATTACTAATACTAATAGAAAAAATGGCTGTAGGGCTAGGTAGAGTAATGGTATCAACGTGCCTACGGCATGTATAATGTAATAATTTCATTTGGGGCTAATCATCTGCCATGTACAGACTCGGTGACCTCAAACAAAACAATGAACCAAGGCATCAATGTACTACAACCAAGATTGAAAAGATCTGTGTGATCATTGTTAATACACCTTTTCAGTTGCTCATAGGCCTCAACAGCTTGTTAAATATTCTTTTGAATTTGTAGGAATGTGAGCAATGCACACATTGATATGAATAGTCTCATTTGTCAAATTCAAAAGAATAATTTACTTGCTATCGAGGCCTAAGAGCAACTGAAAAGGTGTATATTTACACATTGGTTCAATGTTTTATTGTCATAAATGAGTCAATTCAAAATACATGTAACTACCAGTATTTTCTACAATTTATCTAAAGAAAATAAGGTGTTGTGGTCCTTGGAGGGATTACTCTATTATAGTCTGGTACAGCCTGGAAGAGCTTGGGTTCTCTTGTATCGGCATCAGTAAATGACAATATAGAAGCAATGTTGCCGCATCTATAGCAATAATTAGGTGCTGACCAGACTGTAACTAGCTTCTCGTCAAACATGTACTTGTAGCCCTCGTGAACCAACTGATGTGCACGGCAGATGAGCTTGAGGTTGTTTATGTGTACAAACTATGGATATATTATAAAGGGCATTTAGTTCATTAGTTATTCAGAGTAAATACTGTCTTTTTGACTTACTTAGCACTATCAAACAATTGTCCATGTCTGAACATCAACATGTAACAATTGCTCATGTTGTGCACTGATGCCGAGTATTGTATGTCAATTATTCAAGTCCTGCCAAGTAGTTTGCTTTTATCAGCTACAGCAACCAATACTTCTTCTTATCAACGTCAACCTCAACCGATAAATAATGTTCTATTTATTATATTACATATCGATCTTATATATAAATATTGATCTAATTGGCCGAAAAAATGTGTCACCATGCAAATAATGATATCTTCACATGTGAAAGATATGATATCTTTTTATGGTTCAAGATTGCATTTTCACAACTAGAGAAAACCTGGTATCTCATCAATATGTACTGTATAATAATTCTTCATATCACCGTCAGCCTCAACCAATAATCCTTCATATGACAAGATCAACAAAATAATCTTTCAAATTAAAATGTCACTAAAAGATGCAGTGTGTATATACTGTACCTCACTAGTGACTTTGGGGCCAAACAGCCATCCAGCACCTCGTGGGCTTATTGCCCATGTATCAACTTCTTCAGGGTCTGACCATACAAGATCTTTTGGGAGGTTAAAGACAAGTATATTTTATGCTCATTCACAAAATTTACTTTAATAGACTTAATTGAAATATTGTATCTAGAGCTGTAAATAAATGTTAATAATGATGTTATTGTCAGATTAGACAACACGAATGAAAAGGATACCACAAAATGCTCCTTTGTGAGGGATTTCCATGTTACGATCCAATGTTCTTATCTACATGGCAGAAAACACATAAGTATGTAAAGTACATATTGTCATGGCCGCCTGAATGACTTAGACGGCAAAGTTGACTCTCTGACTTAGACGAACTTAGACATTGTCTGGTTTCCTAATGGACTCAGACGTTAAAGTGTCTACCTAACTGACTTAATAAGATGACTTGTCTGACCAACTGTCTGACTTAGACAGAAAGGTGTCTGGTTTTTGGTCAATTTAGACGGCAAAGTGCCTAGCTAACAGTTCGACTTAGACGAAAAAGTAGTTGTTTAACTTATGTATTTAGACGAAAAAGTGTTTGGCTAACTAGTGATTTTGTTGTCTGGCTAACTGTGCGGTTTTGACGGAAAAATGACTGATTAACTGATTGACCTACAATCCAGTATTAAGACAATATATAGCTAATAACATTATATTAATATTATTGGTATCTCAAGGGCCAAGGGTTTGTCAGTTTTAACTGTTACTTTATGTCTCTATCCTCTTTAAATAAAGTTTATCTATCTATCTACCTATCTAGTATGATAATCTTAACTTAAAACTTAGATTATTCTATGGAATCTACTGTACCTGGTCAATAGTTTTTATATCAGGAGAAAGTCCACCATGTACACAAAGAACTTGTCCATCAATAATCTGTAATGATGATTGTAAAACTAGTGTAATTATCAAATTGTTCATTTATCATCAAGCAATCACAATATATTTTAATATTATAAAACTTATTAATAATGCATAAGCTATTGCTCCAATAAGGGCTGACCATTTAATCAGGTGATTGACCTTGTAAATCTGATACAACCACTAGTGGTTGTATCAGATTTACAACACGGTCGTCACCATTGAGACAACCCAACACTAGCAAAGGTCTCAGTTTTAGTGTCGCATCATAGACCTTCACTAGGTTTTGAAGCAATCAAAGACGGATAACAGAACTCGCTTATGCAACAGATGGCTTGCTTTCCATGTGGGATGGATAATTATTCAAAATGTTCTGTGTTGCAGTAAATTGCGCATGCTTAATAGGGACTAAACTCAGCAGTTACCTTATTTGTCATTTTTCGTCATTTATCTCACTGTAATTCATGTTAATTTGTGTTGGAGTTTTATAAGTCGTTTACAACATTCGCGTCCGTGTTGTATGGGAATTACAATCTCTCGCCTGCGGCTCGAGATTGTAATTCCCATACAACACGGCCGCTCATGTTGTAAACTATACTTAACCAACATAGTGTGTTCATATACAGTATAAGTCATATACTTGAGCTTTTGTTTATTTACACCTATGCCATCACATACTTACGGCAGCTATGGTTAACAAATCAAAGACTTTACAGCAATATCTCCAGGCATTAGCATTACCATATTTTGATTGACATTCATCTGTTCAGAAAGAAAGAAGACCATTGTCATGACAACCACAATTTGTTTTGTACTTTATAATCATGACAGTAAAACTAATGACACTGATCACTTGATTGACAGAAACCTGAATGACTTATTAACTGATCAGGAGACTGACTACATGTACATATATACATGACTGATTGGATGATCAACAGCTAATTGACTCAATGGATAATTGATTGAATTACAATTGATTTGCTGATTGATGTGTGCTTCATAGTTGATTGTATGATTGACTGACAGAATTATCTACTGATAATGATTGATTGATTGATAAACTGATCTACTCATTGATTAATTGATTGACTTCATTCATTTAATGATTGATTGATTGATTGAAAGACTGCTAGGTTTCTTACCATAAAAACCATAAACTTGGGTTATCTGCCTACTTTCATGATTCCCTCTGAGAAGTGTAATACGATCAGGCCACCTGATAAAACAACCATTGTTTATATTGAATTAATGAATAAACCTTTATTTATTTGAAAGCTCAGCGTTGTTCCATCAGTTGATGTGCATCTTGTATCAATGGAACCCTGACCAGTGACGTTGCATGAGATATACATGTACCTCTATCATTAATATAATTTACAGTCAAATCTCCAATTGCAGGCACTCTCGCAAGTGGATGGCTCCCAAAAACCCCATATTTCCCTTTCCATACAAACACTTTATTTGATTATAGAAGCTTACTTGGCTTTTAGTGTCAGCAATCGTGTAAATGTCTCTAAACTATAATAGCCTCTGTCTACAAAGTCACCCTGAAAACAACAATGATTGATTTTGAATGTGCTTGACTCGTTTGATCATGCCAATAGATAGTCTCTTTCAACAGCCGCGACTTCCGGTCTCGTCAAATTTCCTCCCGGAAGTCGCGGCTGTTGAAAGAGACTAGCCAATAGAGTGTATATGAACCTTTCAATACTTTATGTCAGTTATACTTACCATGAATATATATGACGTATCAGGAACTTGTCCTCCTGTTCTAAACAACTCCTCCAAATCATAGAACTATGTACATAAGAAAGTAAGCTTCAATACACACATTCAAGCACTGTGGGACAGTAGAACATCTATACCTTACAGTTGAACGTAAGTATATTTAACAGCAAATATAAGAGAATCGACTTATGGAGAATTAATGAGTGACCGCTTAATGGAGGGAGACCGCCAAATAGAAGGTCGCTTAGCAGAGGTTTGACTGTACCATGAGTACATGTGCGTAGGCAGAATAGCACATACAATATGCAAACGGTTAACGTAAATCCTAGAATGTTATTAAATTACATGTACGGTGTTGTTTTTTAGCTTACTGCATAATTTCCCAACATGCGTCATCATTTTGATTTTTAATAATTCACGTTATTACATGAGCCCGTATCGTCATTGAATAGCAGCTAAATGTAATCAAAAGTATATTAGTTAGCACAGACCTGTCCATGAATGTCCCCGCAGACCGTTACAGGCGATGAAACTGGTTGAACGTTACTCTCCTCAAGCAGCATCTCACAAACGAGATCGCAAAGTTTCTGCAGCAAAAAAACGTTTAACATCAGCGATATTTTTCAGCTGATTTACATATTCCCGCAAAATATAAAGTAAAATTACTTCTGGTAGCGAAATATAATACCTTAAGATCATTTTCGGGGAGATATTCGCACTTTCTTGCAATGTCAATCCATCGATCAACGTCCGCCATTTTTTCCTTGCTGATTACCTCAATTTGATGTGGGAACAAGGAAGACTGGGTACTAACAAGGTCCAACATGGCGGCCGCCATGAGGAGATTCACTGCACAAAAAGTGCTTGAATTTAGGACGAATAGCTGTAATGTGGGCATTATAAACAGTTATTTTAGAAAGAGCTTGCCTTGTTGTAGTTACGTTACGTATGTGGGGAAAGCTGCATCGGGAATGATGAGACAAAATGCACAATCAAGTAGGAAAACCCTCTGAAGAACGTTAATGTTGAAGCTTATTCTTTATAATTTGTTATCTTTCTATTGGTGTTTTTCAACAGACAGGAATAAGCAAGGGAGAAGTACACTGCAGAAAGGGAGAAGAACACCACAGAAAGGAAGTAATGTACTGGTACGTTGAATACGTTTGAAGTTATGAAATTGTTATGAAAATATAATCTTAATAATTAATAAGCTTAATAATAATGATAAACACTGGGATGCTGGAAATATTCATCCAATCGGTCAATTATTGCATATTGTACATGTACATTGTAGGGTGTTTATTTAACTCCTGTGCTGTATTTTTTTTTAAAGAATCACACAAGATCAATTAAGATGTCTCCAGAAACAACTGACTGGCCTTCTGTATACTCAGGATCTGAAACATACAATCCATCAGTGATACCAATTATGGTTAGAATGGGAAGATATAGGCACAATAGAACAGATAAAATGCCTAATAGATCATTTGGAAATATTGAACTCATGAAGGTACAGTCAATTAAGCAATACATTTAACATAGTCCTAATCCGCTTATGCGTTTTGCCATGTGCATTACCACTCAATACTCTATTTTTGAATTCAAAGCGAATAACTGCTGTTTTATGTAACAACAGATTCTCTTACACAAAGAACTTACCAAACATAAAAGAAAGCATGAGAAAATGTTGTAAGTGCAATAGCGCTAACAATTTACATTTTCCCACAGTTGAGACTAACTCTGTATTCGCAGGAGGCTCATACCTTAGGTCTTATGGGAATATAGGGTCTCAACTCAGGGGAAAATGAAAATTTTCGAGGCTATTGTAATAACGACATTTTCTCATGTTCTCTTTTGTGTTTGGTGAGGTCTTTGCACAAGCTAATCTGTTGTCAAATATAGCAGCGTATTTTTGCTTTGAATTCCAGACTACTAAATTGAGTAGATAACTGTAACTTGCCATTATAGAGGAATGTCAGAGCACTTATACCATAAAACCTTTTGATAATTAATGATTTCTTGTTTTTCTTTAATATCAACACCATTTTATAATTAGCGCTATTTGTTTCAGAGATTAACTGTTTCCACTGAAATATTGTTTTATTGTATTATTGAAAATGTTATATACTTACTCAAAAAAAAATGATCTCTGTAGATACCAAACTTCTTTCATCTTAGCCCCCCGGCAATTCAGAGGCAAAGCGAAGCTATAAAACGTAAGTCAGCTGTGAATTTAGTAAGTTTGTGAGTATTTGACTTCAATACTTTTGGAGATAATAGACAAATAAAGTTGTCCTTCAGCAGCATATTGGAGTATAAATGGAGTAGGTTCAATTGAGACCTAGCTTACTGCTGTATGATAGTAAAAACGTCTAAGCTGTTACCGTCTATGGCTTCATCATAGACTGACTAGAGAAATGCTAGCTAAGCATTTAAAATGAAAGGTTAGCTACTGTAACTTAGCTAATATTTCTCTAGTCGACAGTCTCTGATAAACCCATGGTGAAAGCTTAGACATTTTTACTATCATATGACAGTACGGCCTCAAACGAACATACTCCATTTTGGAGATTAAATTAAAAAAATATTCAGCTGTGTACTACATGTATACATGCACTTTTTAGAGATACTATTTCAAAAGTTAATCGTTTTTTTTTTTAGATCTTTGTAAGCCGTGGCCAACAGACCTCAATCCATCAACCAGACCGATTAGAGTAATAACTAGGAATTATCTCTTTGCTGGGCCTTCTCTGTATCATCCACGATCTCGTAAAGTTAAAATTCAGGTATAAAGAAACTGTTCTGCACATGCATCTTTGTCTTGCGTCATCTTTATTAATACTACATATACACTCTGCGTACATACTACATGCAGTATGCAATCATGGACAAAATTCTTGAAGACATGGTAAACGTTCTCTTGTTTACTATTAGCTACAATGTAGAGTGCAATTAAACCAATGCATACCCCTCCCCCCTAACATTCATTCTCCCTGCCTGATGTCAGGCATTCCCAGAAATGAAAACAATTACATACAAATTTAATTGGAGATGAGGGTTTCTAAAATATTTAGGATACTACGCGCACTGTGATTGGTCGAAAACCATGTTTGATTACAGTATCAAAACACGCTCGCACGCATCAAACATGGAATTTCGTCTTTTATTCCTTAATTTAAGATCAATTAATGTATGTCTTAGTATTACGATACCAACTAAAGCATACATGTATGTTTGCACAACAATATGCCATGTACATACATGCATATTATATACTGATATTAGAAGTTAATGTATGTTTGCCACTTTTTGCATTGTTAGATAAGCCTTAAAGACTTGATATTGGATGAGCATGCAAGGAATAAATTAATTGAGCTTGTTGGTCCTCGTTATGATAAAGAGACTGACACTCTTACCATTGTTACTGATAGGTAAGTTCTACACCCAGTTACAAACCCATTACCAGTAATAATTATTTTTTTACAATGCTTGCTCTTTGTTTATTTAAGGTGCCCGACTAGAAAGCAAAACAAGGACTATGCACTGTACCTGTTGACTGTATTATATCATGAAGCATGGGTAGGTAATTTTATTGTGTTAAAGGCCATCTTGCATCTGAGAACCTTTGAATTTGCTTTGTTTAAAAAGCTATCTGTCATTGTATTGAATTAAGTTTGTTTCTGAAGGGATTAAAATATATCTGAAAACATGTGCAATGATCATCATCCCACAAAAGAATTTTGAAAAAAAGAGCAAAAAAATAAAAAAAAAGCCCTGCAAGGTGAAAACAAATGAAATCTGAAGAGGAGTTTCTGTATATAATAGTAGTGTACAAAATTCTTGGATATTGTGTATTTCTCTTTCAGTCAGGATTTATTATTCATATATTTGCAGAAAACAGAGTCTTGGGAAGCAGATGCTATTGTAGAAGAGCCTGATGTAGCACCAGAAACAATCAAAAACAAAAGACGCAGTCCTAAACGATTCCAACTCATAGGAGATGAATTATACAGATTGAACCAATATGGAAAGGCCTTTAAAGTTGATATCAAAACAAAAGTGTAGATAGTTGATAAGGGTTTTCTTAATTAAAAGTGATTGTTAGAACAATGATAGTATTACCTTTAATTACCATTATTCTTAATCAGAATTATACTGTTAGCGCTAATCCTTAGTCTCCTTGCAGCTGTTCTAAGTCGCGGGCTCCTTGTCCCCTGCCCTGGTTTGCGGAGCACACCACTAAGATTGGCTGAGAGGAGACTCGCTAATCCTGGCTTAACTCTTAGAAAACGTATGGAGTTAACCCTGGATTAACGCTATTCAGCCCTGATAGCAGGCACCTTACATTTTTGCACAAGTTGGGATAACAAATTTAAATACCAAAGAAATAAATGAGATATAATATTTATTTTTTTTGTATTTACACTCATCTGATAATTAGATTTTAAAAGCCTTGTATCAGTTTTTCTCCTTAGAGTGTCTGTGTGGGATCCCTGTGTAACTGTTTGCACGGGATTCCTGTGCCAAGATTTGGTCCCAGACTCCACAGTTTGCGTGTCGTCCAAAATGGCGGACAAAGTTGCATTTGGTGTGCATGTTGGTTGTACATCGGCATGTGTTGCTATTTGTCAGGTAATCAATGATAATATTCAATTGCTGCAAAATATTTAACATCAAGATATAATTTTAGAAGTTAATTGCTTAAAATCTGTGAAACTACAGTCTCAATTTAATTGGTCAAAAATACGAACATTCGATCTTTGACATGCCGATTGCATTGACAAGTTTTTGTAGTGCAAAATGTGTACGAAGGCTACAATCTCTAATGCCCACTCATTTCTAAGCGATTTTTATGGACGTTTATTACATATTTACTATAAGCCAGGATTAATATTGGTGATATTGTTGTATCCAATATTTTCGCTTTATCTGTCTATCTGGCTTGTGGTTGTAGGATGGCGATGCCAAGATATTGACTAACGATGCTGGTGAAAGAGTGACTCCAGCTGTTGTTGCTTATACTGAAAGTGAAAAGGTATCCATTGCATTTGTTCGTTCATTCATTCAAATATTCATGTTCTCATTAATTTAAGTTTACATGGAAATACTCCAGTTTTGAGATCTTATTTGTGCAGCCCTAACCTCGAAAGCATGTAATATATTCTTTTATTCAGCAGGTATCCTATTGTAATGCAAACAATTTGTGTACAAAGAAGACAATGAAATTTATGCTTGATTGAACCTAATCTTGCACAAAAGAGAATTTGAAACTGGAGTATAAAGTATTGATTGTAGTTGTTATTAATACTTTATTTATTCAGTCGTCCATTCATTCATTTGCCTTTTCATTTATTCGTCTGTCAATCAATGTGCCCTTTCATTGTAAAATCCATTAATTCATTATCAATTTAACTATTCATATTTCCATTTTTCCAATTATTCAGTTAGTAATTTATTCATTTGTTCATCCATTCAATTGATATTTCCATTCATGTTTTTCATCCATCCCATTCATTATTGATCACATCTGATGAAAACAAAAATTGGTGTATGGTTTTAGATTGTTGGTCTTCCAGCTAAACAAGGTTTACTCAGAGGAAATTCAAATAAAACTATAGTAAGAGCAAAAAGACTGCTGGCTAAAAGGTAAGTTAATTTTGTACTTAAATGTTAGAATATAGCCAGCCTGTGTGACATCTGGAATTTCTATCTAAATTCTGGATGTAACACAGGCTAGAATATAGCTTTAGTATTATTAAGTATTATCAACTGATTCTTAGTCAAAATGATACTGATATGTGAACTAACAGTATTTTTAATAAATTCTAGTTTTCTTGATGAAGATGTTCAGCAAGACGTTAAAAGCTCTGATTGCAAAGTAATTATCACTTGTTTTCAATGGATTTCAAGGAAGACATTATACATGTATTTGTACATGTACATGTAGTACATGTACACATTCCAAGCTTTCTCAGTAATTTCAACAATTACTGTTCAAACTTCATGTACCAACATGCATAGATTAGAACAAATGTTGAATGTTTATGTGTGGATAAAATATTCGTGTTAGCCAATCACAGTAATTTGATTATTATCTTAATTGTTATTCAGATTATAGAGAAAGATGGACTGCCATACTACAGAATTGAACATGACAACAAGAGTACTACTATCTCCCCTAAAGAAATTATATCCACAATTTACGGCAAAATGCATGGTAGGTGCCTTGCATGCCTTAGTTTGTAATCATTGAAGAATCATTGCTGGATGGAAAAACACAGATACAGAAAGCCAAAAAGTGCTTGAAATGTCAACTATATAAATATTTGATTTCTATTTATGGACTATTTGGTCTGTAAGGTGACCAAAGTAGGTCTCAAATTATACATTTGTGTTTTTTGTACATTTGTCACTTTACATTCTACTTAAATTAAGCATGTTTTCCAGTACTACCTAGCCTTCTCTATACATGTACGTTCTCTGTGTTGACCTTCACCTTGCTTGCATGACTTAGGGCAAGTACAATGCATTTTATGGTAAAGTATTGTGTTTATATTGATTCAAAACAGAGACAGCAACATCTCACTCTGGTTCAGGCTGTTCTTACCATGCTGTTCTTGCTGTACCAGTGGACTACACTGAACAACAAAGGACAGAGCTAAGGTACACACTAGTAAATGGTTACAGTTAAGCATACATATGTTATTTACCGGCTGGGAGGTCTGTATAGGAAAACACTGACCGAGGTCTTGACAGTACAGACCGAGCACAGCAGTGTATGAATGTTATATGTACATTGTACAATTATATGATGATTAAATGTTTTGGTTATTTCAGGGAGGCAGCTGAAGCAGCAGGATTTCAAGTACTTAGATTTATCAGCATTCCAGCAGCTGGCCTTTTAGCATATAGTTAGTATAACATTTATTTTTAGCTTTTTGATTATTCATTAATTTCGCTTGATATTTCATTTTTCTAGATATTTCACAGAATGACAGATCTGTTGACAGGTGTGTTTATGTCTTTATTCCATGTGCATGAATATGTGTCATTCTTCCAATTTGCCTTCTTGTACATTCAAACGCTCCTTCTAACCTTATAATTACATCAGAATTTTACACAAGGAATCAAGGGCCAAGGCGTGCTTATTGATTCTTTCCATTGCTTGGTATTCCTGTGTTGTGATTCAAGTTTCTGGTTTTCAAGTGCTTCCTGGAAAATAGTGTAGATGAGTGGGAAAGATAACATTTGCTTTCCTCCCCTCCTGCATTTCTTGTTTCTTGACAATTAATGCGAGGAATTTCAACCATGCATAATATTTCTTTTAATCCCACCTTTTTAATTTTTTTCATAGCACTGTCCTTGTTTATCGCATTGGGGGGACAAGTCAAGAGGCTACAGTAGTATCAGTAACCAATGGCATGTATAGGATTATAGCACATCACCTGGACAGTTCTTTAGGAGGAAACGAATTTGATGGAATTATTCTACAACATTTAGCAAATGAATTTAAAAGGTACACATTGAAGCACCGATTGGTTGTCTGATTGTATATTAAATATACAAATTTTGTTGATAAAATTATCAGCGATTGATTGATTGATTGGTGGATTGATAAATTGATTAATTAGTGCATTGATTGATTGCTGATTGATTGATTGGTGGATTAATTGATTGATTAATTAGTGGATCGATGGATTAATTGGTGGATTGATTGATGGATTGATTGATGGATTGATTGGTGGATTGATTGGTGGATTGATTGATTAATTGGTGGATTAATTGATTGATTGATTGGTGGATTGATTGATTGATTAATTAGTGGATTGATTGATTGATTGATTGATTGATTGGTGGATTGATTGATTGATCATCAATTCATTGATTGGCTTTTAATTGACCACAGGCAATGGAAAGTTGATCCATTATCAACTCGAAAGGCAAAGGCCAAGCTGGGTTCCTCGGCTGAACATGTCAAAAATATTTTGTCTCGTATGGACACAGCAACTGTAAACATCGACTCATTATGTGAAGGGATTGACTTCCAAACTAAAGTATCAAGGTATTATTTCATTGTTTGTACATGTTCCTCTAGGATTATCCTGTTGCTCATACCTGAGGCCAGAGGTAAAGTCAGTTGTCCTCAAACCACCCTCAAGTCAGTCCTTGAACTTGAGCTTACTGGGGGCATATTTGGGACAGCTATAGCTGTATGATGGTATACCATATTGCATCAAGCCACTGTTTTGCCACCTGATTACTGCACAACTATAAAAGTGTGTATGTCTGATTAGAGAGTTTTTAAAAGCATCATGTTTACAGCAAACGGCTTACAGCAGAAAGCTAATTTGTTTCTTTCAGGGCTCGGTTTGAATCGTTATGCAGTCATCTTTTTCAACAGTGTCTGTCAGTTATTGAACAGGGATTGAAGAAGGCAGATATATCTAAAGAACGAATAGATAAGGTAAAATTTGAATCATAATCACTTAATTTATTTGTTATAGTATATAAATTAAATCAATCTTAAATTGAAGGCTTATTTTCATAAGCATATTGCCATAAGAACCTTTACAAAGCAAAGGCAAAACAACAAGCCTTGCTGCATAAAAAGTAAAGAACTAAACAAGACTTTGCTTTTATAACATTTTTTTTTTTCGATTATCAAGGTTATTCTAGTGGGAGGCACTGCATCAATCCCTAAAATACAACAAATGCTTAAAGACTATTTTATTGGTAAAGAAATTTGCCGTCGTATCAATCCTGATGAAGTGATAGCTTATGGAGCTGCTGTGCAGGTACGTAATTAAAGGGAGCTCGGGGGGGGAAGGCCCAGGGGGGTGTTCACTTTATAAAATGGGGCCAGCACATTAAAGGGAGGTCAAGGCTGAAAGTTAGAGTCCATGCTCGCAAAATTTCTCCAGAAGCTCCCAAATGAACCTTGTTTATCACATAATCATTACAGACAAAACACTAACAAAGCACACTGTGTATATAAATTTATAGGCGTCAATTCTTCAAGGGCAAAAAGAGGAACCCGAAGCTTTACTGACTGAATTACAATGCATGGCGAAAACTATAAGTGTTTCAGTAAGTTATCTACAAACATACTTGAATTCCAGTCAACTTAATCCTTGAGGATTAGTTTTGATATTAAGGACAACCAACTACAGTCAACTCTCGCTATGACCGACACCCTCGTGACCGTAATTTAGCGTCTGCAGTAGAGAGAGTCCGTACTGTATAAACGGGAGTTACTTTCAGTCATTTCTTTGTATTTTTGGCCTGGGATTCAGTATCTCGTGTCCGTAATATCGAGGTGTCTGAAATAGCGGGGTGTCCGTAAGGCGAAAGTTGACTATATGAAGAACAAGGATGAAATTAAAATGATCGTATTAACCAAGGAACAATTGTTAGGTTGATAGCGATAGTACAAAGCTGGTCCCAGTCATCCCTAGTCTGACTCCATTCCCTCTCAGACGAACATACACATTTACAACATCACAAGATAACCAGGTATGACAGAATGTTGATGGACAATCCTAGGCGTGGTTCTGTCAATCAAAACTTCAGACTTTACGTAAGAGCTTGTGAGACTACTGCATAAAGCAAACTATTTTTCGTCTTCACTATACACCACAGCGGACATCTAGGGGGAACTTCAACAAAGGATTTCTAATTAGTATCTATTGTTCAATCCTCCAACATGGCCGCTAGTCTATTGAACCTCATGGAAATGGTTGAAAACGATCAATAGCTACCATGCAGTTGTTCGTCATTTGTTTGACTTTGTAGAGGAGTCTCAAAGCATTTTTGATTGGATTTTTGATTGACGAAAAAAACGCACTTAATGTTAGACCGTTAACGTTCTCATTTTTGCGAAAAGTGTTATTAAAGCAATCAAGAAAACCTCTTCTCTATTTTTCAAACGTACGTTCTCCCATCGGCAAAAGCTGTGTGACGTTGTGTGGAAAAATCTGATATACATGGGAGGCCGGCTCAGTATAATCATTTTCGAGTGCTTGTTGTATTATATTTTTATATCTTCAATATGGAGGGCTCAATAATCCAAGGTGACTAGAAATGTGATCCATATTTCACCTACACCTACCCCTTTCATTTCTCACCAGCTATCAATGACAGTTAATGTCGTTTTTTATTCCAGGAAAGTGTTTGTTTATCAGTGTTTGAAGTAGATGATGCAATGAATGACCAATCAAATAAGGCGCTTCTCTGCAAGGTAAGCTATCATGATTGCTAACAGTTCGTTATGACATCATGGCGACCAAGCTTAACTAATCGTTTTTTAACACCAACAGATTGTATTGAAGGATTTATCTCCATTGCCCAAGGGTCAGCTAAAGTTTTGTGCAACATTTCATGTTAGGAAGTAAGTTTAAGCCAAGTTTTTCCCTGCTGATTGTCCGTTAAACAGGGACATAGTCAAACCCTAATAAGGCGCTTTATCTGATTTCTTCTGGTTCTATTGGACTATAATACTTTGCGTCACTATTTTGTTTTACAGAATATTATTCGCCTTATAATTTATAAATTCCACCTCACAATGCATTCTTGCCTTTCACTATACGTCACAGCGGCCATCTTGGAGGAACTTCAACAAAGAATTTTTCATAAGAATCCATTGTTCATTCCTCCAACATGGCCGACGGTCTTTTATCTTTTGAATCTCATGGGAACGGTTGGAAACGATCAATTTATCTCTCAGGTTAACCTACTTTACTTATTCTTATTAGGGATGGTTCTATGCACGTACATTTGATAGAAAGAGAATCCAACAAGACAGCTGATGTTACTATAGAAACAGCATAATACGTCAGGCCCGGTACAATTTATATTAAACTGATTAACAGGAATTAATTTTCTAAATGTGGATTGAGCGTTAATTTATACACTATGGGGAGAGGGGGTAGGGAGGGGGCGAATGGGAAATGACAGACCACCAGTATTACGATAGTTCCGCTTTTATTCTTAAAATGTAGTTTTCCGATCGTGTTCAAAAACTGTTCTAACCTCATGCGTTGTATGTTAGTATATCTCCATATTCCGAATCTTTAAGTTACGATGTCTATATTACAACCGAAGGCGGAGGGGGTAAATGAGAAATAAAAGAACACCTCAATATTTCGATTGTTATTAGATTGTAAAAAAATTGTTCTTTCTATAATTTGTAGTGTACATATTTCGACCTATTACGACCGTTCTATTACTTTATCTGCCTTTTTTTGCAAGAGCATTAACTAATGTTTAAAAATATATCCGTTTAGCAAACGTTTTTATGCGCTTTTAGAGACTCCACTTGTTTTCTCCTGCTTTTGAAGGAGTTGATGGGAAGTATAACTGAATTTGCCCTCGCTCTTCCCATAATGCACCTCGCGCTTCTAAGAGGAGCATTTTCAGGAGTGGGTATCAGTTTCTATTTGTGAAATATTATTCAAACGTTCTGGGCCGTGGTCGAACCATTTTTTGTAGTTCTTTCCGGTGTATTCCACACTGTTTGTTAGCGTTCCATATAGTATCCAACCACGTGTACACCTTAGGTTTATTATCAAGGTGCAGACGCGCGCAGAGGATGCAGTTCCATGGTGGATAGTCGACAATGCGGTACTTATTTTTCCACTTGAAATATTCCAGATAAGCCGTTTCATTCTTATGTAAATAGATCAAATATTCCGCCAGCTTTTTCACAGTTTTAAAGTCCATCGCGTTTATAAATGATCCAGGAATCGCGATATCTTTTTTGCTGTAGTTAGCGCCACCGAGTACGACTGGGACTACTCCTCGCTTCAATGCGTCCCAGTACTTCTCGGTCACGTAGTCGACGCAGTAGGAATTCTCCAAGGCTAGTTCGAATTTATATCGTTTGAGTTTTTTCTCGCACCTTTCGGAGTTCTTTGGACATTTGTCCTTATTTGAAGCTCCAACTGCTTTCTTACAGGCGCCAAATACGTCTACCTAAGGGGCGAGAAAATAACAGTAATTTAGCTGTGAGAATTTAGACTAATCGTTATCTGCAGTACCTAGCTTAAAGGCCCAGTTTCACCCACAAACTACTCAAGTTTCAAAGCAGAAACACGGTCGCAAAGCATCCTGGGTGATACTGGGCCTTGAATGAGAAGATAAGGAAGAGACTTCATCATCATCATCATCATTATCACTATTATCATCATTACAATCATAATTACCTTCATGTATTCTAATAATTTCTTCACAAATTTATCTCTCATAAGACCACAACGACTTGAAGCCCAGAACACTAGACGATCTTTCCCTTCCATGTACTCTTTGACATCCTGAACCAATGGAATATGTTTCGATTCAAAATAATAAGAATACGGCCTGAATATGTCCGAGTCACTGCGGTACGTCATAATCCAATTAAACATAGAATTAAAACGGCTTGTTAGTGGGTTATTCATAGGGCTCTCCATAGCAAAGTATATCCACTTTTGCGTAGGACTCTTGCGTTCTAACGCGTAACGTAATGTATCTATAAACGGCATATCGCGCGCGTGGAATATCAACGCGTCGCTGCGTGGACGGTCTCTTCTTTCAAACGTCAATTCGCAGTTATAATAAGGACATTTAACTCCTTGCCAGTGATTGAATTCGTGCGTATTCTTCATCCATCCCCAGGGTTTTTGCCCAAAGTACATTGTATACGCTAAAACTACCTTCCGTACGTTCTTATCAATGATATTTGTCGTATTAGATCCACGAGTTGAGACGTTCTTCGCAGAATTTAGGGTACCTTCTCCACGAGTTTTCTCTGATAGTCCATAAGATTCCATCATTTTTCGTACAAGACTTTCAACATGTATTTTACAGTCTTCTGTTATATTCCCTTGTGTTTTATGTCGATGATGCGGTACTGAAGTGTGAGATTCTAGGTGTGTCGTTGGCTTGTGATCGGTGTAATACATCATAAGTAAAACCATGGTTAAGATTACTAGTATTGATGTGCCAAAGGAGGTCTTGGTGCATTGCATTGTATATCAGCTGAAAAACATAAAGTTTGCGTTACTATGTATTGACATTATAATATCGTTTATGCCAGTACCTTTTTTTTTCATTCTAAATATCTAAGGTAGATTCCCCGACTAAAAGTTGTGGGTATTAAATTGACTGTTGYTGGCAATATCCATCCATTAAATCCCTCCCAACCTCCTCTCTCCTCTCCTCCCAACCGTCCCGTCATCAAAGGCAGTCAATGCTGTCATTTCCATGAAATGATTATCTTCTATCCTTATTGATTTGGATCTACATAACTTTCAGCAAATACATATTCGTGTTTTCCATTCTCCTACAAACGCTTTCACATCGGTGTAGGGAACTATGGCTTCAGACGACCATTATCCCCCTCTAACCCTACCTAACCACCGGCCTTCCCCTACCCTTACTATTCTCTAGAATTATAGAGTGATGTGTGCGGTATTCCTGTGGCATAGGAATAGATTCGGAAACACCACAGTGGAAGTGTATGATGATTACATAATAGTAGCAATAATACTTAACAAAGCTATAACTCTATATTATACTCACACAAATTCTGAACTTCAAARCTGCGTATATAACAGTTTATCATTAGGCGTCATAGGAGTTCTTTTGAAAATAGTGTAGCGTTAGTCATGAATAGCAAGTGCAAATGTAAGCAATATGTCCTTCATTGTAACGGCGTTGAAAGCTGTCCTCCTATAAAGCACATAATCTTATAGTCCTCATAATACAGCAAGTGTGTGTATCTATAGAGAGTGTTTACCATCTTGCTTGAATGCTGCGCATACTCGAATTGTAAAGAAACGCATGGCATTAAGATTATTTACTGGTGGCTCATATGAATTCAGAACTCGTAACAAGTCATGCATAGCAAATAAACTTTCAAATCTTATAAAAATTTCCAACGATACACATTTTGAGTGAAATATTTATGTTACCAATAAGAGTCAGTTAGTTTTTGATCCATAAAATTTCTTTTTCGATCAAAAGACAAGTTTTATAAGGTGTTAACTGAATTTCACTTAAAGTAATTATGTTAATATATGCAAAGTGTTCGTGTTATTAATTCAAAAGTGATTCAAACAACATGGAGGTCCGATTTTAGTAAGTGAGTCATGTCATACGCTGCCTCATACAATCAAATGTTGTATAACGAACAGCAAAGTGGCTTTGCAATTTTCAGGAGCGCAAGAAACTAATGTGAAAGTCGTAAGATACGATATTCATTTTTTTACAAGGATAAAATTTATAACGAAGAAATGTACTCACAGAGAGAGCCGCTGATGTAAATTACGGGCACAAGGAATGGATGAAGAGAAAAATCCTACAAGTAAATGTTGTATGACAAAGACCAAGTGCTTTATAATATGCATATTGGTAACAATCATTATCATCCTTTACGAGTATAGTTTGCCCAAGCGATCATCATCGCTAACTAGACAATACATGGATTCATCGATCGATCAAGATCGCTTGAAAGTGTTGGACAAAATAGTGAACGATTTGGAAGAAAAACAGAAAGATATGTCACCAAAATCCCGATCGTTATGGACCAAAATGTTCGGCTCAAAATCGTCGAGCAGTCGAGACAAGCTCGTGCTCTTATACACGGGATTCTTCGGCGATCTCCCGTGGGGGTGGATAAAAGATACTAAAACTTTAAACCAATGGGATGGAATAACCTGTCCTCATTTTCACTGTCGACTAACATACAACAAGAGTGACATCAAGATAGCCGACGCCGTTATCTTCCACGCAGAAGACATGTTGACATCAGATGATTTAAATGAATTACAACTGTCACGCAATCCTCGCCAGAGATGGATTTTCTTCCCAACTGAAAGTCCCGCTAACGTGGGCACAGAACACGTGATCAACGGAGTGTTTAATTGGACAATGTCGTATCGTCATGACGCGGACATCTTCCGTCCCTATGGTTACTATTATCCAATCACAGGGCACCAAGAAGGTGATTTCCTGGAGTTCATGGAAGGGAAAGATTTGTTTGTTGTATGGCTATCAAGCCACTTAGGTTTGATGAGGGACAAGTACGTCAGACGACTGCGTATATGGATCAAGATAGATGTATTCGGTAAAACAGGGATTGCAGTTGGTGGAAGGTCTGGTTTGTGCACAAAAGATTCCCCTGATTGCAAGAAGCACTTAAAACGGTATAAATTCCTTCTCGCTTTTGAGAATTCCTTTTGCACTGATTACATCACAGAGAAGTATTGGTTCGCTTTAGAAATGGGTGTGGTCCCAGTTGTAATGGGAGGCGCAGACTATGAGAAAATGGGTATCCCTGGCTCCTATATTCATGTAAAAGACTTCCCAACTATAAAGGCTTTGGCCGATTACTTAAAAAGACTTGATCTCAATGATAAAGAATACAGTAAATATTTTGAATGGAAGAATAAATACCGAGTCTTGAATGACTCTCCTTGGACATGTCAGTTGTGCACAGCACTGAACATTGACAAAAGAATCAAAGTCTATGACAGGCTGGAAGATCTTTGGTGGCCTGAGAGAGAATGTGGAATTAAAGAAGATATTGTTAAGAAAATTATTGGCAGACAGCAATGGAATGGAACCAGAAAAACTAGATATGATTGACAAGTGGATCTTATGCACGCAGGACTGTGCAACTAGATTCCTTATTAATTTTCAGTTTGCATATCCTCGGAATCTCAGGGGCAATCTTTTGTTGCTTGTCCCTCTGCTTCCAGACATAGTATATTACATTTTAGTATTTCCAAACTAGTGGACTATTGCAAATCCTTCATTTGATTGGCTACGCTACTCGGGGTCTATTTTCAATAGTCCTCGACTAGTGAAAAGCTACAACTTTTTGTGTATTTTTAGCAATAAAAACATTTTGTTTTTTTTTTATTATTTCATTCATTTTTTGTCCAACTAGTATGGTAAAACTAAAACAATTCGATCTCTTGGCCTTGTGGGCTACAAGCTGATAGCCTATTCGGACTTCCACCTCATGGGCTATCAGCTTATAGTCGATTTGCCCTCAAGATCTAATTGTTAAAGAGTTGCTGGTTATTTTGTGCCTTTGTGGTCAATCACCATATTGGTAGTTCAATGTAGATSTCTGATTTGTCTTGAACTGTTACAAAATGTGTGGCCTTTTAAATCCCATCCAGTCCTCATTGTCCCTCCATAAAGTTTTACAGGAACTAAACAAAATTTCTTCCAAGAAACAYCAACAAATGAATAATAATTTTTATTATGAACACTCTCAATTTAATTCAAATATAAATTAATTTTAATATAAATTGATGCAAAGCACTACTATTGTGCGAAATTCCTTGACACAAAAATATGAAAGAATAAATTTTATCTAGTCTGTGCTCTTGGCTAAATGCATTTTGCATTATGTCCCTTTTCTATAAATGTTTTTGAATAAAATAATTCATTACTTTACCTGGCCTAAGGACTAAAAATATATTTTTTTGTATCTTAATTCATTTGAATGAAAACCCTAGTCTCCTTCACAGCCTTTACTTTGTTGGGCTCCTTGTTCTTCTCAAAAGAAGGACAGGAAATGTGACAAAAGGTAGGCTGCACAGGAGACTATGAAGCCCTAACACACTAATAAATAACGCATTTGAATATAAAAGAATGCAAAGAATGTTTTAACACTCTGAACTTATCAAAGTTCATTGATAAATTATGTCTAATTAAATAAAMATTGTCTTTAAACAACTTGAAAAACAACAGCAACTCATAAATTGTTACTGAAGAAAGTATAACTGTATAATGATAATAATTGATTTTTGATGAAAGGTTTTAGTCTTGAGGTGTAATTATTAGTATAATAGTACTATGTCGATGTTGGACACACTCCTTTGCAGTGGATATCACCATGGTGATGGTGTGGACAAACACCTGGTGTTGCTATTGACAACAAGAGTTATAACACCATTAATACATGTAGATCAAATAATGATTACACCTATAATGATTAATACTTATCAATAAGTCACACCATGCTTATGATGATGGGAGTAACCACAAAGTTTAAAATGCTGATGAGATTGTAGTTGTCTTGTCTTAATAGATGSTCTTAGAGTGCCTACTATGCTTGCTACACAACATTGTATATTACTTATGAAACGTTGAGGTAAACTAGCTCAAGTTTTAAAGAAACTTTTGAAAAAAAATTCAATCTGACCGTGAAAATCAGAGTTAAAGTTTATGCAAATGAACAAGACATCTGTATGTAATATACAACTCTCTTCATGGGCTATGATTTCTATTGTGTTTTGCCTTATGAATATTAATGAGTTTTATAAGTCCATCAATCATACTCAATGTGAGTAATACTTCATACTGTACTTACAAGTCAATAACTTTCCAACTTTGTTTGGGTCATGTCGACTGATAAAGTGTTCCAATGTATCCCATCCACCACCAACACGAACCATCACATGATTACGCAATATCTACATTAGTAAATATATCATTAAGTTAGTTAGTGGAAATGYCAGATGCAATATGAAGGCTTTATGAAACTGGTGCTTATTCTAGCTGAGGGGTTCTAATTTAGGGTAGGGCATCAATGAGGGGAACTTAATATTATTCAATCTGTAGGTTTCTCTAAAGATGAACTAAATTGAAGAGGTACTAATTACAGGAGAGCATTATTGCAAATGATATTAGATGATTATTATATGGGTTTGTTATTGAGTGYGTTTTTTCTATGAAAGGCATATTTATTTGTGCAATAAGGGTACATATGTGTATAGCTACAATAGACTACAGATGTTATTAGTCTTGGTCACTCATTCCCTCCCTATTCTTAATGTTAATGGGGAGGGAAGGTATGACGATCACTCCATCCCAGTCCACCTTCAGATAGCCAGGTACTCAGGCTAAAGGGTGTAGTTCTTTGACTTACCCTAACAAATATGTTTATTTTTCCTTCCACAATGTACCTCCCTTCTTTAATCTTCTCCACTCTTACATTATACTTTTTGGCAAGTCGTGCTACCTGTATTCAGAAAAAWA